AACGAACTCCACCAAGTGAAAGGAAGATCTACTAGATATTAATTAAATCATAAATATATCAATTCATGTGAATATGACTGAAAAATTTCATTTTTTCTGAAAAGGTGGTGTCTATTTACTTGTGACCACGCTGTGTATATAGAACTCCTTTAATCATGTAGTCAGGCAACAGATTCTAACATAGAACGAAAGCAAGAACAAAGTGTTGAAAAAAGATAAAAAATAATGCATGAACGATATTCTGAGTCTACATAACTTTGAAACTGTTTTTTTTTTCAGTTTCAAAATATTCTTATTCTAATATTGAAGATTATACACACAAAGAGTTTTAAATTTTAACAATTTAACTGATTAATTTCCTTCATACCGGATGTTAGCTTCACATTCGTGTTAATCTGGGATTGCGTGAATTCTATTGTTGCTGGATAAGATTGCCATTTTTAAATCGAAAATACAATTTAAGAAACATAGATAAGAAAGTAAACGCTCAAGTATTTAGTTGTTAAAGAGAATGAATGCAGTATTTAGAGCATACTGATAATAACTGTCATGCCAAAAAATTCATGTACTAATTATAGAAAGGCAAAATGATGGTGTTTCCATTTTAACAATAGCTACTATTTTCCTTATCTCATCGACTTTCAGGCTAATCATCACAAACCAAATCAAGAAATATTCCTAAACTTTATTAAAATAAGGAGGTTCCAACAGCCAAACAAAAATAAAATCCAGTACATTACTGAACATAATAAGTTTACAACTTAATGGTGATTAAAAATAATCCAGGTACAGCCAAAATTAACAAAGAATAACACAGAATATGGAATATCTTACCATATACTCGCACTTCGCTTTCCCTTCATATGTCCATCAATTTTATTTAGGTTGTACTAATTCCCATCAGGATTTGAGTCATGCCAATGTAAACATAACAAATTACTGTTCATTAACTGTAATATATAACACATAAATAATAAATAGGTTTCGTTTCTTATTGGCAGCATATTACTTTCTTCATTTACCTCTCTCGGATTAT